GTCCAATCTAATTGATTAATATATAGAATAGAAGATGACGAGTTTCTGATTAGTCTCATTTTCAAATCGAAGCATTTTGCTTCATTTTCACGATATACGAAATGAGTAATTATTTGTTGATGCTAACTCTTAATGTCAGTATTCACTATTTAAATAGTCCATTATTCACAATACATTTTTATAATAAACCCATTCACTTAAAATAATATCTTGAATCTACTAGATCGTATAAAAATCTTCAATTGCTTACATCGTAAGTCTGAATTACTCATGTGCATTTTCTTTGTCGTTTAGTTATATATTATTGATAATATCTTCTTCATAATTGGTTAATTCGCAATCGGTAGATAATTTCAAACGCTACGAAATGAACTAATTTGAACAGTCTATAAAAGTGAACTACTTAACAAAATCCTTAGTCAACTATATCTGTGGTGCAGTTTTTAGTTTTTCCGAATGATAGTTGATAACTGTCAAACAGAATAATATCCATTTGACTTTAAACAAAAATCATATTTGGAATTAAACTTCTGTAGTTTTCAAATTTTTTCTGCAATGTTCTTTCTTCGGTCCAATATTCATCTATAGTTTCCCTTGGAGATCAGTAGAAAAATGTCTATGATCAAAGCACTTATAATATTGTTTAGTCAAACCAATTTTCGCTTTGTAGTAGCGTTTTACAAGCTCAGAACTTGCTTTCCGTTGTTTCGAAGTTTTCTACTACTTTAAAAGTTCTATCAAACCGAATCTGAACAAACTTTAGAGGGCGTTTCATTAAGATAATAATTAACCGACAACTTTAATGCATATGTGCAATACTTGGTTCATAATACAAACAGTAGAGGATTTGTATTTCGTAAAGCTAGACTCGTTGTTCACAACTATAATATATTACAATGGTCATTTATGTCCCTCCATTCTTTCTAATTACGTTATATTATGTTAATCGATTTTTTTTTCTTCTATGTACCTGAATCTTCTATATATGATAATGTAGTAGAAGGAACATGTTCGGTTTTTTTCTTTTTATTTTCATCATCGACTTCTTCAAATGGTGTTCGATTTGATCTTGGTGATATTATTATAATAAAATCAAGAATTTCTTCCTAGAAACAAAAAAAGTTTTTTTTTTCCTCTAATGTTTAATTTTGTATGTAGATCAAAAATACCATAATTAATTTATCAATTAATTGTTGTGTTAAACGAAAACGATATTTTCCATTTTCAGACATATATAATTTATCATCACATTGACCTAGTTCAATTAAACCATTACGAGATTTAAGTCGTTGACGATAATGATCAATTTGATTTGTATATTGTTTTTCACCGGTTATAAATAATATAGATGCATTTATTTGAGTAAAATCATTCTAATGTTAAAGTCAACAGATTTTATTTTTTTTTGACATAAAATTTATATTTTTACTTTTGTTTCTTCAGATAAAGCTTCGAATGGTGGAGACATACAAATGACAGATGAAACAGAACAAACAAGTGCAGCTTTAAGTGCAAGAATACAACCAACATTCCAACCAAGAAACATAATATGATGATTTGGATAGAGTTGACGAATCTTTAAAAAACCAAAAATAAGAATTTATGAATTAAAATTTCAAGAATATATTTCTAGTAAGCAAAGTTTTAGAAGTTCAGTTCTATGCGAATGTTTTTCTTGTCTAGTATTATATTTTGCATTTGCTTATAGAGCTCGTCATATTCAAAATCAATTGGGCAGGCTTCACTTTCTTAGGAATCATGGTAAATATCAATTTATGCTAGATATCAAAACTGAGTAATATAATCGTATGTTATTGAATTTTTAGAATATAATGAGAAAATTTCAATCTGAAATAGATTTCATGGCCTTCATATCGAATATTTTACTAAAAATCAATGATTTTGAAATTCTCTTCCATTGAGATAGATGCATCCATTTTTGTTGAAATTTTTAGCATATGATAAAGATCATGAAGAGTATTTTCGAGTAAAATTTCAACCAAGAATTCTTTAATTCAATTTTCATCTACGCAACTAAGAATCAGCAAAATATGAGTTCGAACAGAGTTTTTGATATGTTTGTATCGCATAATTGAACATAATTAATGTTGATTTGATTACAAAGCCAACAAGAAGAAACTTAATTTTTTCATGCACAGTTTTTTCTTAATAGACAACTATTATATATAATTAATATGCTCTTTGTAAACTGTTGTTTTGAAAGCAAACCATCTTACACTTCAGTTGTGCTTGATGATCATTAAACATTTATCTTAGTATTCTTTTTATGTCGTTTTGTTTCAACTATTGATTTCTCAGTATTGTCTTCACACTATGAATAGTAATTAGAAAATTCACAATAAGATTATCTACTCTATCTCTCCTAGAACAATGTGCAATATGAATATTCGCAAATAATGTTTTAAATATAGTACGAATTCTAGAAATGAATATCGAAAGGTATGAAAACGTTTATCTACCATACGATCAATACATCGAAATCTCTAGACACTCTAAAAACATGTTCAGAGATACTGGAAACTTAAGGTTCTTTCACGATTGCTCACAAACCTCAAGAAATACTGCAGTAATTTCAATTGATTGGATAATTTCCGAACCCAAACCAGAGTTGATATTCAGTACATGTCTAATTACTACAATGTCATTGTAAACTCTTCAGAATAATTTACCTATAAAACCAAGAGCTTATGAAAGAAATTCTTCGGATATTCAAACAAATGTTATTAGTAACTAAGTACTAAAACAAACAGAAAAAAACAGGATTTTTTTCTAACAAAAACTAATCATTTTTCTTTAAAAAACCAATTCTATAGATTTTCAAAAAGCTGTAGCTATGTAAAATTTTTCTTTCGGATAATCTTTTATTCGGGGAGAAGGACGAAGGTCATACAAAAAAAAGCATTTAAATGAAAGAACTATCATTTAATTTACTTCATTAAATTTCGTAATAATATCTTCATAAGCTGTTTGAATTTGTAATTGTTCTGATTTATTATCTTTTTCAATTATTGTTGAAAGCATAACTATTGCTACTTGAGAAAGATTTCTTTGCCAAAATTGAATACGTTCCGTATGACTTCCATATATTAAACCAGGAATTAAAAGACAAACAATTGGTATTGGTAATGAAGACTAAATACCAAAAAAAAAAAAAGATAAAATAAAATTTTTTTTTTTTTTTTTTTTTTTTTTTAAACTACCAAAGATATACTATAAATAACTTCTTCAGTAAGATCGTTTGGTTTTTGAAGTAATTTATTATAAACATATGAATTAAGATCTGTTGTTGTTGTTGAATATGATTTCATTTTTTCAATAAATAATGAACGAATATTAGGATACTAAATCTGATATGATGAAAACAAAATTTATTTAAATATTTATAAGATTTTCAAACCTCATCATAAAGTATTTGAAATAAATCTACATAATGACCAATTGATATTCGATCAAATGTTTTACATATATATTCATGAAGCCAATCAAGTAAATTTTTATACTAAATAAAATATCAAAGAAACTTCATTGTTTTTTTTTTCTTTTTTTTATATCAATTATTTTAATCATTTACATTTGAATGAAGAGTAAGAAGTGAATAAAGTTTTGCTACAATATGATGTATTGATAAACGCCAATAGACAACATTGCAATTATTCTAAAAAAAAAAAAACAAATCGAACGTTTTTATTTTTGTAATATAATTAAATAATATTTATTTAATTATACTGATTCACAACATAATGAAGCAATATGTGTTTCATTAATTAATTCACGAATATCTTGAATAAATATTTGTTGTTCTTGTGTAAGATTTTCATTAGTTTGTTGTAAACATTCAAATATATCGGGTATAATTGTATTAATTGTTGGTGTCCAATTAATATTTTCATTAATTAATTTTTGATTATCATCAATATCAATAATTGAATCATTTCTAGAGAGATTTTTACAGGATGTTTAAAAAAAAATTAGAAAATAAATACATACATTGAAGTTGAATTTAAAAAAAGTTGAACTCGTGGAAGTGCAGTTGATATTGTTGGATCATCTATCCATGGTCGACAATAACTATGATCAGGTCGAGTTTCTATAGTTAAAAGAAAAAAAATTTATTGAAAAACATAGAAATTGAATTGATGAGTTTCGTTTTATTACGAAGAAATTTTAAAGAATAAAATTAGTATTTTATGCAGTATGAGCCTTCTACATGGATTTTTATGAAATGAAAAGTAGCTTTGAGGATATAGATATCCGTCTTAGACTTTTCAATATCGATATAAATTAGTTTTGATTTTAATCGTATAATTAATTTGCATAAGTATCAATAATAAATGAATACTTGTAAAAGCTACAGAAAAAAGAAAAGATAGACTTCGAAATAAAAATCATACGGCCATCCTAAGTTATTTTACGACATCTTTCTCAATATGCAAATTAGAGGTACAGAAAATCTACCCGTGTGCGCGTACGGCCGTACGGGGGAATTTTCGAAAATGTATTAGAAAATTGGTTCAACTTTACAAACGAGTCTTAATTATAGTTGGAGAAATTTTTCATTTTAGCGGTAGACTCTGCACCTCTGATGTAAATAATCATTCATAAAAATTTTACTCTACTTGAATAGTGCATTATTTTAATTCTCTATAATATCAATTAATTTGATTTGCAATCATTTAAACATACCTTTTATAGTTTCATTAGAATAAAATGGTGCTTGATTTAAACATGCATCATATAGATTTTTATATGTCGGTGAAATCCATTGACGAAAACGCATATTTATATCTAAAATTAATCATTTATGTGTGTTGTTTATTCGTACATATCCTTATTATATATATATATTAAATAAGTTTTTTTCATTTTTATTTGTTTTGTTAACAATAAAGATAAATTAACAATCCTATCAATAATAAAACAAACGAAGACAATTTTTTTATCATTTTATAAAAATAATATTGAAAAAAACCAAAAATGATTTATGTTCCTTTGCCTAGTTCAAATTTTTTATGTAGAAGACAACTACTACGATAAATGAAAGCATCAATTAAACTTGAAACAGTAAAAACACCGCCCTACAAATAAATAAAATCATATTATGTAAAAAATATTTTTTTTTTTTGATCTACTAACAATAATTGCACATAATGATGTTAAAAAATGTGCTAATGAACGTTTTTGTTCAATAAATTTAACCATAATTGCACTTATTTCATAAGTAAAAAATATTCCTGGTATTTGATGATCAGATGAATCAAATATATTTTTAATAATTTTTTTATGTTTTGTAACTGAATATTGATTTGTTATTAATTGTGTTTGATTTAAAAAAACATATGTTGATGGTACAACTTTAACATAATAATGATAAAGTACAGCACCATTATCTTTTAAATTAACAATTTGTTTTGTATTTGATAATGGATTTATTTGTTTTGGAAAATATTGTCCAAATGATAATTCATCAATATAATGTGTTGTATTAAGCATATTTAAACGTACATTTCGTAATGAATGTACATGTATATGATGTTGTTCAAATGATTGACCAGGTGCTATATGAAAATTTCCAGATACTTTATTTACTTCTAAATAACCATGTAAACGACAACCTTCATTTATTTGTGTTGAACTATCATCATTATTTGAATTAATTATATCAATGTTTTTACCTTCACGAATACATTGATGAATACCAGCTAAATATATATAGTGTTATTTTTTTTTTTTTATTGAGATATGAAATCAATTAGTGTAAAATATAAGTTTGAAACTCATGCATTCGATAAACTCAAATAAAAAAAAAAGTTAGAAAATAAATTATTAATTAACATCATAACATAACTACACATACTCGTAAAGAATATAATATCATTTCGATTGAAAATATTGATCTAATTTCTAAAGATAGAACCCTAATCAGTTATCAATAGAGATATACAGAAGGAGAACTATGCGAAAATAATTATTTCAATTTGAATGAAAGGTTATTGTTAAATATTCTATGGTTGTGATCGACACTGATGGGAAAAAATTATCAAAATCATGACCTACATATCTCTGATTTTGAATATTCTGAAGAGAGTTTATACTACTACCGAGATCTTCCTCTAGAAAAGCTTATTGTCAAAATTTCAGATATTTTGATTACTTCTATTCTGAAATAAGAATATCTGAACCTACCAAACATGATCTTATCATAGTCATACTTATATTCCGATAGGAATAGAGAGTCGAAATCTTCTGACTAGACGCAAGTTTACCTCATAAGACAGCCTCAATACTCAATAGAATTCTGTCTTTCCTGGAAGTAAATTTCGATCCGATTAATTTTTTGTTTTTTACTAATCTATCCAAGACAAAAAAAAAGAACAGAATAATTTCTACAATTACTAACAAGATCTTTTTTCTTTCACCCTAAAAATCTTCTTTGAACTTCTCTATTATTATTACACTTTTATTCTTTTAAGAAAAATTATATATATATAATTATTTACATGGATCAAATGACCATCCTTTAATTCTATATGCTGCTTTAACATCATCACATGTCGGACAACATTCATGTACAGATGATTCAGCACCATAACAAGATTCACATTGAGAAGTTGTTGTTGTTATATTTTTATTATCATCATTTAATTTTGGTAATGGTTTTAATGAAACTTTAATAATATCATTTTCAATTATATTTCCATTTAAATCTAATCGTGTTTTATATAAATTATGTGATACATCTGTTTGTGAATCACCTGATATATCCATAGCATCAACAGTTAAATAACTACATGGTAAAATAGGAAATTTAATATCAATTGTTATATTCATTTTTTCTTGTCGACTTGTATCAACAAATAAAACTTGTATTATATCTATTGTTAAATAATATTTTAATTCAATTATTATTAATAAAAATATTATAATTGAACTAATTATTGTAACAAATCCACCACTTGTTGTACGTATACGAAAATCTTCAAGTGTTTTAGCATATGCATCAAAACGTTTTAATTGTCCTGACATTGTTTCTGTCATATTGATGAAATATATAATTTACATACAACAAACACAAACACAAAAAAAAGAAGAACCAATATATTCATTCATTCTTCATTTTTATTTATTCATTGGTTATTTTATTTAACGAATGAAAAAAAATCCATATTCAACCATCTTATTAATTGGTTGCTTATGAGCCCTTTTCCATTTCTTACAAAGGCGCAAGAGAGAAGTATATAGATCCTTATTGATTGTTATTAAAAATTTAAGACAGATAAAAAACAACACAAAAACATATACACATACACATGGATAATGAAGTATTAATTACAAATCAACCGATTGTTATTGATAATGGTTCAGGAATGATTAAAGCCGGTTTTGCCGGTGATCCAGTACCAAAAATAAATTTTCCAAATTATGTTGGTCGTCCAAAACATGTACGTGTTATGGCTGGTGGTTTAGAAGGTGATATATTTATAGGACCTAAAGCTGAAGAATATCGTGGACTTTTACATATTGCACATCCAATGGAACATGGTATTGTACAAGATTGGAATGATATGGAAAAAATTTGGACATATATTTATTCAAAAGATCAATTAAGATCAGCATCGGAAGAAGTAAAATGCAAACGAAAAATAAATTAATTTTTAATGAAATTTATGTTTTGTTTTTCTTTTTGTGTGTGTGTTTAGCATCCAGTTTTATTAACAGAAGCTCCATTAAATCCAAGAAAAAATCGTGAAAAAGCAGCAGAAATTTTTTTTGAAACATTTAATGTTCCTGCTTTATTTATTTCAATGCAAGCTATACTTAGTTTGTATGTTTAAATGAATTTTTCTATTTTAATTATAATTAATGATCTGTTTTTATTTTTTTATTTTATTTAGATATGCAAGTGGAAGAACAACAGGTGTTGTACTTGATTCAGGAGATGGCGTTACACATGCTGTACCTATTTATGAAGGTAGATTATAATTTTAAATGTAATTATTTATTAAATGATATTGAAGAGAAATAATGTTTTTATGAATCATCCATTCGAAGAAAGGTTATATGAGATTGAATTTTCAGATAAGATATCCTTCTATTGGATATGAAAATTGTTGTGAAGTAAAAAATAGATGTCATATCAGAAAAAAAAACAGATGTAATCGCAAGGGATTTATCGAATACATTTGTCTAATAAGCAGTACATGTTTGAAGCGAATATTTTAATTTCTATTTCTCTTCGTACCAAAAAACAAAGAATAACACAATTTAATAGATTCAATTTTATTCAAATAAAAACTAGAATAATAAAACTTTTAGAAATCTCGTTTAATGTAGGACAATATAAAACAAATCTTTTGATTAATTATGTAATATATATAGAAGCTATGAAAACTATTCAACCAAATTTATTTTCAGTTTTTTTTTCCGCTGTCTTAAACACGAGCAATAGTTCAAAAGAGTGATTTGAATAGTAAATATTACATTCAATAGAAAAGTGAAAATGATTACTAACTTTCTCCTGGCAAAACCATAAAAATTCTCGTTTTTTTTTTAATATTTTGAATACAATACATAGAACTTTCATCGTTTCGTAAAATTTCTAGAAAACATTAAAGACGTCTTATTTGGTGATTTGGTCGTTCAGAAAGTTTGTTAGTTTTAAGACAATAGAGTGAAATTTTTCAATGAAGTTGAGTTAAATAATTGTCATAATCATTTTATTCATATGAATATTTCAAACTTGAACGATATTCATCATTATAATATGATTAAATAAAAAAATTGAGGTAAAAAACAAGTTCTATATGAACTAGATAAGTATTTATCAAAAAAATCAACTGGCCTTAACCTGCCAGAATAATCGACTAAGTTATTCGATCTTCTTATGAGCAAAACATTAGATTGAAATCTCATTATTTGATTTTTCAATAAAATTCAACACTGAAAGTATTACCAAATGTAATGCCGAACAAATTTTTATTTCTTATAAAAACAACTTGAAGAAACTTTTTCTTCATACATATTGATAGTAAAAATGATGCTCTATGCATCTACGATATTGCATCATTCTTCAACTAATATCGTAATAATAAAATTTCAATAAGACATGTCTGGTTATGATGTATAACGGTTACATTAGTTCATATTGTCTTTTTGATTTCTTATTGTCTCGTCTAATGGGTAGCTGTCTATATATATATCTGTTAACGTATACAAAAAGGTTGTGATGAAATAAAAATGCAATACAGAAACAAGTAGTTCATCCTTTTTTTTGTGAAAATCTTATTGATCTCTACAAAATGATTTAAATAATCTTACAGTTGTTATAACAGAAAGAGTTTCATCACGAAAAATATAGCACAAAACTCTTGTTTAAATCTGAAATGCAGTACGTACTTTAATGTAGAAACAAACATTTTTCATTATTGATGTAAAACAAAGATGAACAGTGTCAAGATTTAACCTTATTTCTTTCATTTTTATTGAGAACATCTTAATAAACTACAGATGTAAATAAGACATACGTATATATCTATATAAAGGTATGTAGACTATTAGATATTAAAAGGGAAGAGAAAAAAGAATAAAGAGAGAGAGAAGACAATGTGAACTGATGTAATCATTACATATTAAAACCAGATAGGTTCTCTATTGAAATTTTTTATTATTTTGATATTAGATGAAGAATGATATAATAGAGAGCGTTGTTTTAACTATCAATATACATACGGAAAAAGTTTCTTTTAACTTTTTATAAGTACCTTTTCTATTACTTTTGATATGCCTCAAGTAGAACTAAGATAGAGAGCTGAAGACACATAAAATCGTAAAGATCTATAAAGTTTTGTATAATGCTCAGAAATTTAGATTTTTATCATTGAGAAGTTATGTAGATATTGTAATCCGTTGGTTTTTTCGAGCTATTCTTATTTTCGAAAACATTGTTTTAGACAATGGATTCAAATGAAATATTAGAAAAAATTGATAATACAAAATTTGCATGCATTTTTATTTTTGATTTTCGAAAATGAAAACCATACCTTTCTATATAAATTAATATAGAGTACTATTTATGTTATCAACGCATATGTATAAAGAAACCTTGTTATAAGATATTTAAATGCTATCGACATTACTTTTGATGCATGTCTCTTAAAGTATAATGCTTCAGAGATGGACAAAGTCGCACCGCGCCTCCCCGCGCCGTTGCTCACGCCTACGCTACACTAGTCTGAGCTTCGATGAGCGCATACTTAGAGCATCCCGGTATTCGGTGGAGTTTGAGAAACTGATTGGTAGAGCAAAGAGAAAGAGAGATGTGCGTAGCGCCTAGGCGCGAGCAGTGGCGCGGGGAGGCGCGGTGCGATTTTGTCCATCTCTGTAATGCTTGTGTAACTAATAAAAATTTATTTTTGAAATAACAAGAGTTTGCTTTATTTTATAAAAAAATTTCTACAAAACCAACAGATTTAAGAATAATAATTTATATTGAAAGTTCTGTATTCAAAAACACAAAAATCTCTTGTTTCGAATAAAATACTTTTTGTTTTTTTTAAACACAATTTAAGAAAAAAAAGTGTTGAAGTTATAGAAGTATATATTTAGATTTTCACACAAACACTTCGATAGAGTCGGTCGGATCTGGCGAGCGCTACACATCAGTAACAGCGCTCGTCCCGACCATATATGAATATAAATCAAATAATTTCCCTATGATTATCAACAGGAGCTTCATCATGTTCTTACATATTAATGCTACAAGCATTTAATTGATAACTTTTCTTTTTTAAAAATATTTTATGAATATTAATATAGATAAAAATAAAACTTTCATTCGATAAGATGATTTAAAATAGAGAATTATTTCATAAAAATATATATATATAGATAATTTTAATTTCTAGGATTTGCTATGCCACATAGTATTCTTCGAAATGATGTTGCTGGTCGAGATGTAACACGTTATTTAAAATTATTATTAAGAAAAGAAGGTTATACATTTAAAACAACAGCAGAATTTGAAATAGTTAAAAGTATTAAAGAACGTGTATGTTTTTTATCACCAACAGCACAAAAAGATGAAACAAGTCAAGGTGATAAATCACAATTTACATTACCTGATGGAACATCTATTGAAGTATGAATAATTATTTAGATAAATAACAAAAAAATAATTTTTCTTTTTAATTTATTTTTAGCTTGGTACAAGTCGTTATCGAGCACCAGAAGTACTTTTTAATCCAGACTTAATTGGAGAAGAATGTGAAGGTATACATGAAATATTATCTGGTTCAATTCAAAGATCCGATATGGATTTACGACGAACACTTTATCAAAATATTGTTCTATCGGGAGGATCTACATTATTTCGAGGTATGTTTACTTTTACATTAATAGGAAATCTATCATTTGACTTTGGTCGAATGACGTCAAACTTCTTTTTTTTTTTTGCTGTATCCTGTTTTATTTCCCTTCTGATTTTCTACAAGTAATGTTTATCGAGATTTGACTCTTAACTGACAGGAGATGTTTACATTAATTAAAATATTCGATAAATATAAAAGATGATTTGACATATAACAGTAACTCGTTTCTTGTTATATAACACTTGATTAATAGACTTCAATTCATAAGTACAATGTGAATTTGTTTTTCAATAGAAATTTCATTAAAATTATTAATTGTTATGCAGTTTTTGTTTTCTAGAAAAAAAAAATACATTTGAAATTGAAAAATGTTTCGTTTTATCATCATTCATATGATTCTATGTCTTTCCAATATTTTGAATACAATGCATGTTATATATACATATATATATATGTCATGTTACAAGTTTGTTTGCACTACTGTAGTACCGGAGATAGATTGTCGATTCGAAAACAGTCAACCATTCACGTATCAAAATACCAGTGGAATATTTATTTGATTAGGATAGTATAGAAATCAATATAATTACTCGGGTCAACCAGGTACACTTCGTACGCGTACTGAGCGTGTCGGGTCGACCTGGGTAGGTATATGTGCCGTATTCCTATTGCTATAACAAAGTTAATATCATATTATTCAAGTAATAATCGGTAGAATCATTTGATAGTATTACTTATCTCAAATCAATAAACCGATCTATCACATAGCTTAATATGATAATCGTAATAGTTACAAGAAAACCTCTCTAGATATTTATATCACTTTTTGATGAAGATGATGTTCATTTAATGCGTGCTAGTGAATCTTTATATGAACAAAATTTTGAATATATTAAATTATATATTCAAAATGAATTTTTAGGTTTCGGTGATCGTTTACTTGGCGAATTAAAACGTATAGCACCTAAAGAAGTTAAAATAAAAATTTCTGCACCACGTGAACGTCTATATTCAACATGGATTGGGTAAGTTCATAAAATAATTTTTTTTTTTTTTGTGTAAATCTTCTTATATTATTTAAATAGTGGTTCAATATTGGCTTCACTTGATACATTTAAAAAAATTTGGGTAACAAAACGTGAATATGATACGGAAGGTGCTAAAGTAATCCATCGTAAAACATTTTGAAATAATATCAACATTCCTCTATATATGAAATCTCATCTTTTGTTTGTTTCTTTTTTTTTGGCTCTTATATCTTGCTATGGTGATTAGTTGTTTGTTTGTTTGTTTTGTCTCTCTTAACTTGATTATTTAACTATACGATAATGGTTTTTATTGTTTCTTTAATGCGCTGGTTCGTGCAATGTTTACATCATTTGAAATGAACAAAGAAACACTATTGTGTATTTTATTATTGATAATTAAAACTTCATTTTTAGATGTATAAGTAAAATAGTTAAATAAGACAAAAAAACGAAATAAGAAAAAAAAAATAATAATGAGTGCAAAAATAACACAACGTCGTCGTCAACTCGATAATAAACGTTCATCGAGTGTAAATAATGAAAATACAAATGGAAATGCAAATATTATTGCAGCAGCTGCTGCAGCTAGACGACGAAATCAACATCGTCATTATCCAACATCAAATCGATCTCGTTTTGAATATTTATTTAAAAATATAATGAAAAAAAAATTTCCAATTACAATACCATCTTATTTAATAACAATGATTGGTGGATTAATATTTGCATTTTTTTTATATAGAGTTATAATAACAATTATTGATTATCGTAATCAATATGAATATACAAATATACCAATTAAATTACCTAAACTTGTTAATATTAATGATACAACACCCAAATTTAGTCCAGAAAGATTTTGGGGAACATATAGGTAAATTAAAAGAACAAAAAAAAAACTCTGTTAGCATAATTTCGATAGAATTTAAATGTGAAATATGATGTATTAGTATCTTGAGATATTTGAAATTTTTTCATGTGTAAAAATAAATATGATTCATTTTCAAATACTAGAAAACCTAAAAACTTGTACAATTAAATAATTTCATTGAGAATTTTATTAGTCGAAAGTCGTCTTTTTACACGATCACAGCTTTTTTTTTTTGTTGAAAAACTTAGTATAATTTTGATATTTCAAGAATGAAAACTTCGAAATCTAAACTTTTTTATTAATTACGAAAGATATATTATCTCAGTCGAAAACCAATTTGACTTATAAAAAAGTTCCATCATCAGCTGCGATTGGGTTACATCAAAATAATTGTTTAGTAGCTTGACTTTGCAAAATGTGTATATTTCGAGATATTGAACTTTCCTACAGCTAACTATTGTGTTATATTGAAATGCTAGAAAATCTCGATTCGTAGTTTTTTTTTCTAAGCATAATTTAATTTTTTTTTTTTTTGTAAAGATCCAATTTATATTTTGGTATAAAACATCGAAGTGCTCGATCATTAAGTGGTGGATTAATGTGGTTCGATTATAATAAATTACAGCAATCAAATGATAGATTTCTTAGGTAAAATGAAAATTCTTGTTTATTTTTTTTTTCAAACGATTTCTTTTTTTTTTTTGTGTTATAGACATTGGTGTGATCAAAATGATCGTTTAAAATATGGATGGACTTATCATGATGGAGAAACATTTGGTATTGAACAAATTTATGATGATAATTTACATTTAAATATTCAATGGCTTAAACAAATTAATGGAGAACATGGTGGAGATTGGACAACAAGAATTAATGTTACTCCACAAGTATGTAGTAAAAAAATAATATATGAATCAATCTATTAACAGAAAAAAAAAGAACATCTGACACCAAATCATTTTGGAATAAACAACTGTTACATTGTATTATTAAATTATTTCCTATAGTTCTTGTTTTTTTTTATTATCTATCTATTTAAAATTTATATCAAATCTAGAGAAATAAACTAGATTATGAAAGATTTTTGAATGAATTCGAACACTAGCACATCCTACAGAGTAAAATCAGTCTGATTGATACAAATAGTGACATAGTCTAAAAGAGACTGAGTTCCTATCTGATCAAAGTCTTAATTACGCCTTTAGATTCAAAGTTCATCCAACGAACGGTAGTTATTTTAGAGTTGTATTTCAAATATGTACTGCACAAAAGAAAAAATCTACATATATCGTTTGATTTTATTATATTGTAATTCATAGCGTTACCAAAAATTTAATATAATTTGAAATTGAAATTGATACATTCTCACGAGACAACAGAATTTCAAGATAAAATTTTGCTCATAAACAGATCTAATAACACTTTCGAAAGAATACTTTTCACGGATCAATCACTTTCTCATGAAAAGCTACTAGATTATTTATTACTTACGCCTTTATACGCTAATTTTTATAGATTGATAAACATTTTGCCAAAAGAATTTTGGATCTACTCAAATTATAGAGCATATCGATTTGTCTATAAGATAGTAATCTATTCTGTTTTTGAAAAAATAAATTTTGAATAGAAAAATATCATTTTGAAACTTTTCACATTGAATAATTGTATTTTTTGCAGCGAAATGTTTGATAATGTGAAAAATCACCATATGAAAGAGCCTAAAGAGATTTCTCATAGTCATATTCGAACTTCATGATCGATCCTCTAAACTCTCTATACTTTTTTATGAGAAAGTAATTGATTAGTTAAAACTTTTTCCTTGTTAGAATTCTCTTGAGGAGTTTCAATTGAAAAGAATGTTCCGTTATCTAGATCTTGAATTTTCAAGAGAACTCAATTATTGTGCTTTATCGGTGATAAACGATTATTTGTTTTACACATTCACTATCTCGACAAAGCAACATTCTTATCAATTAAAATTTTCAGAATATCGCAATTTAATCTAATTATAAGAAAAAGGATCCTGTTGAATAAACTCACATATATCTTTACAAAACACGCTATTTGAAAGTTCTTCACAAATTGTACGTGATGCTCGACATTGCCTTGTATTAAGAAATCATATCGGATGTAGTTTATTATGCTCATTCCGAATAACATTTTTATTTTCACATCAGAATCAACTTTTAATAGTCAACACGTATTAAAAGAGAAAAAATGATTAAGAGTTTACAATGCAAGATAACTTTGAACAACACGTACAAGTTTTCAAGAACTTCCAAATAGTCTATTTTGCAGAGATACATCATGAGTAAGTGATAAGAAAGTTTTATGTCCAATCGCATCTTTTATGTTCGACAATATTGAACCCACGGAAAAATTCTTCAGAAAAAAACCGCGATAATCTGAGGTTAACCGTGGTTTTGTTCCGCATTTTGAAAAAACCGCGAAAGTCAGATCATTTATGCGTCTTTTAAAGACCGCGGTTAGATCTGCAAAAACTCAGCTCGGACCGCGGTTTTCGCTGGTTTTAAAAACCGTATAAACGGTCTGACTTTCGCGGTTTTTTCTTGAAAATTGTTTTGTGAGTAGACGCAGTATGTATTTAAATAAATTGCTTTTTTTCCCTTTTTGTTTTTTGAAAACGATAATTTCGATTTGTATAAGTTTTATTTGACTCAAAATGATAATTCTTTTTCTTTTTGTCGTCTTCTAGCCTCAAAATCGTACAATACCAATATCTTTATTTTTCTATTTTCATCATGATCTACCTTGGATTGATGAAATAAGTACAATATCAAATGAATCTCCTGATATAATAATAATTCGTGGTCAAACAAATGAATTAGATGGTTTTACAATAAAAATTAAATTAAATACACAAACAAATCAAATTTTAACACGTACATTAACTGATATATTTCATTTAGATAAAATTCATGAAAATCTTCTAACAAAATTAACAACAAATTCTTATGAACAACCTTATGTACTTCTTATTGATCAACCATTTAAAGATTTTGAACATAATACATTTTTTATTCAATTAACATTAAAACAACCATTAGTTAATGAAATATTTTCATTTGATATTATTTATCAATCTGATTCATCAAATAATGAACGAGAACAAGATTTAACTGGTTATTATTTTAATGAAGAAATTAATCGTTTACAAAAACAATTTGATGAACGTTTTGAAAATATATTTCAATTAAAAACAAAACAAAATATGGATATTAAAAAAATTAATTTTGCTAAATCAACATTAAGTAATTTAATTGGTGGAATTTCTTATTTTACTGGTAAATATAAAAATTAATCAAAAAACACCAAAAATCATTATTTATATTATTTAATTTTAAGGTAAATCATTAGTAGCAAAAGTCAATCAAAAAATTCCAGATGAATATTGGACAACAAATTTATATACAGCTGTACCATCACGTTCATTTTTTCCACGTGGTTTTCTTTGGGATGAAGGTTTTCATAATCTTCTTATTGCTCGATGGAATAAAAATATAACTATTGAAATTCTTTCACATTGGTTTGATATGCTTAATGATAATGGATGGATACCTAGAGTAAGATAAATTAAAAATATAACTTTCTTACGAAAGCTTTTATAATAGTCTATTTTTTTTGGTATCGCGCATATCTTAGAAACAAATTATCAATTTGAATTAAAATATATCGAATCTATTAAGTTTGATAAAATAATTCTATTCCTTTTCTAGGAAGTAATACTTGGTGATGAAGCTCGTATTCGTGTACCAACTGAATTTCAAATACAATATACTAATAATGCTAATCCTCCAACATTCTTTTTAACAATTGAATATTTATTAAAAATTGATCCAAATAATCATTTATTTAATTTACCATTTATTCAACGTCTTGAAAAATGGTATCAATGGTATAATCGTACACAATATGGTTCACAACCATTAACATATCGTTGGCGTGGTAGAAATGCATCATCAATATATGAATTAAATCCAAAAACATTAACAAGTGGTCTTGATGATTATCCACGTGCATCACATCCAACTGATGGTGAACGTCATATAGATTTACGTTGTTGGATGACATTAGCATCAACAATATTAGGTAAACTTTATACATTAATAAATAATGAACAAACAAATCAATATTTAAATTATGCACAATTACTTTTAAATAATGAACAACTTGATCAATTACATTGGTCTGAACAATATGGTATGTATGCTGATTATGGTTTACATACTGATTATATACAATTACAACGTGTACCTATTGGAAAATTAAATCCACAACAACCACAACAACAACAACAAACACATATGATTAGACAAATTACAAGACAATCAGATTTAAATCTTAAATATGTTAAACATTTTGGTTATATATCATTATTTCCATTAATGACACGTATTTTAAATTCACAATCACCAAAACTTGAAAAAATTTTAAATGATTTACAAAATCCAAGTTTATTATGGACACAATATGGTTTAAGATCATTAGCACAAACAAGTTCATTATATGGTATTAGAAATACTGAACATGATCCACCTTATTGGCGAGGTAAATATTAGTTTATCAAAAAAAACAAAAAAAATTGATTGAGAATATTTAAAATTTTCTGATAGGAAGATCGAAATTAAAAGATAACTTTCACTTAATCATAATTGAAATTTTAAGGATAAGTTAAATGCTAATCCGCAAAAATTATTTGAACTCAATCTTAAGCTACGATCATATGAGTCGTTTTAGATAAAATATAAAGGTTTTTAATTTTGTAAGATCACACCTTCAACAAATAAATTTGTTTACAAGAATTCATATCTAATAGAAAAAAATTTTTTTTTTTTTTTTTATAAAAAAACTGAAAATGATGATTATCATTATGAATTTTCTATCAGATTGTTACAGTTTATTCTTTACTAATTAATTTATAATGTAGGAAAACTTTCAAAAAATTATATTATTGTAAGAATAGATCATAAGACGAATAGTTATATAAGAGTTTATTTATTATATTTAGGTGCTATATGGATTAATATGAATTATATGGTTTTATCAGCTTTACAACATTATGCAAAAACATCTGGACCATATTCTGATAAAGCTCGTCAAATATATGGACAATTACGTACAAATTTAATAACAAATATGTATCGTGTTTATGAAAAAACAGGTCATATTTGGGAACAATATGATGATAAGACGGGTCATGGACAAGGTAGTCATTCATTTACAGGATGGTCATCACTTATTGTATTAATTATGTCTGAACTTTATGATGACTAAAAACAACAACAACATTCTCTATTCCATTTTTCTTTACTTTATTAATGTGTTTGTGCATTTACATTTTTTTTTTGTGTCCCGGTTTTGAAAAAAAAAACCATAAGCAAAAAAAGGGCTAACTGAACATTGTTTTGTGATATTCATGTTTGTTTTTCTCTTTTCCTCTCAATTTCTTTTCATTTTTTTTTTTTTTTCGTATATTTCTTGTTGTTTGTTTCTTTACTTTTCTTTTCTATATTGTTGTTAGTTTTGTCGTTGTTACTTTTGTCTTATTTCGTGCGCAAACACACACATACACGTACACAGTTTTTTTTTTTTTTTAGAAACAAAATATAACATTCTCATACATTCTCTTTTGTTTTTTTTAGATGAGTCGTTTTCTAACAGTTGACAATTTATCATCATATATGTGTCAGTTAAAATCTATTATATCATCCTTGTTATGTAATCATACGAGTATGAAATGTATTGAATCTTCATCATCATCATCATTTGAATTTTTTTCATGTCCAATACAATTAATTGGAGAACTTCATATAAATCATCCATATCATTCATTAATTATTGAAACATTAGAAACATTTCATAATAAATATAATGGATGTTCATGTAAAACATTATTATTTTTTCTTATTACATTTTATAATCATTTTCAAATATTAATCAATAAAAATAATCAATTATTTCAAATGAAAATTATTAATTATTTAGAAGAATTTATTGAACAATCAATATTAATAGCTAAAAATAATTTTATTGAAAATTTATTTTTAAATTCAAATATATTTCTTCGTATATGTCGTTTTCAATATATTTATTCTGATATTCTCTATCAAGCTTATTTATATTTTATTTCATTAAAACAACAAAATTCACATGAAGAATTAATTAAACAATTTAATAATCTTAATCATATAACACGTGTTAAATATTCTGAAGAAAAATGTTTATTTATTCCAGGTACAATAATTTCAATAGATAAATCTATACAAGGATATAAACGTACAATATTAATTGATGGATATATTTTAGAAGATTATATTCATATTGGTTATAATAATAAATTAAAATTAAAACAAATATCAAATAAATCTTCATGGATATATATAATATTATCAATATTAAATCAATATTCTATTGATATTATTTTATGTACAGGTAAAATTGATGAAAAATTAAAAGAATTAAATAATAATAATAATAAAAGAATTTTTATTGAAAATATTTCAATAAAAATTTTTCAATTATTTGAACAAAATTTTATAATAAATTATATAACTGATATTAATGAAGAAAATATTTTATTATTAAATTATATTGAATATTATAATGATCCATCAATAATATATATTGAAAAAGGTTCAACAATAATTCAATATGTACCATTTGAAAATTTAATTAATATTAAACATGAACAATTTGTTCATTGTTTATCAAGATTTCGTTTAATACTTAAAAAAAATTTTTATTTAAATGGTTCAGGTGAATTTGAAAATAATTTATATAAATATTTTTATAATAAAAAAGAAAATTTATCTATTGAATATAATCTTGCATATGAATATTTTCTTGAATATTTACAATTATTTGTTAATGAATTATTAAATCATAAAGAATCTTTTATAAAAAATCTTATTGATGATTTTGATTCAAAATTTTATGCTTGGAAAACAAGTATTGAATTATTAAAAATATTAATGCAGATAGATAATGTTGTACAAATTATTGATAATGATAATTTAAGTGATATCTAATTAAATAGATTTTATATTTATGTGTTTATCTTTTTCTAGATTAAAGTTTTCAGTTTAGACCGGTAATTTTGAATGGATGTACAAATATAATTAAATTTGTGTTTCTCAATTTAACGAGTAAGTTTTTGTTTAATATGTATTAGTTGAAACATTTTTTTTTGCATTTTCGTTTTTAGTCTTTCCACAATTATTACATTCAATATAATCTTCTCTATACTAAATTTGTTTTTTGTTTGAAACACTTTATATAAACAAAATCATGTTCAATATTGGATCGTATACTTTTCTTAAAGTAATTTTTATTGAATTTATATAAAATCAAATAATTATATTTTTTTTTTCTAATTTCAATTAGTTTCGTCGAACATTAGGTACGGCACGACCATTATTAATTGTTACAACAATCGTCTTTTCAATATTACTGATGTTACTTTATCTTTATTCTCATGAACATTATCAAAAAGAACATTTACCAAAACTTCAAATTACATTACCAAATGGAACAAGAATATTTACTAACAACAATGATATAACAGAAAAAAATACTGAACTTGATCATTGGCATGATAAAATAAAAGAAAAAATAAAAAATAGTGCAAATTTTGGTTTTATTCATGCATTTATTGCATCAATATCAGTTATTATTGTATCAGAATTAGGAGATAAAACATTTTTTATTGCTGCTATTATGGCTATGCGTTATTCACGTTTAACTATCTATGTTGGTGCAATGGGTGCTTTAGGTGCCATGACTATTTTATCAGCATTATTAGGAAATATTGTAACAAAATTAATTCCAAGAATTTATACATATTATTTATCAAGTATATTATTTGCATGTTTTGGTATTAAAATGTTAAGAGATGGATATTTAATGTCACCAGAAGAAGGTGCTGAAGAATATCAAGAAGCTGAACATGAAGTAGGAAAACATGAATCAGCAAATGATCTTGAATCAGGCAATGGAGGAATAGGAAATCAACAACAAAAATTACCATCTACATCTAAACAACGAAGTACATTAACAAAACTTACATCAATTCTACGTCGTTATGTATCACCTATATTCATTCAAGCATTTATCATGACTTTTCTTGCTGTACGTATTATAAAAACAAAAAAAAGAAATTTTTCAGTAAACTTTCTTGGAATCTTAAATGTGCAAGTCACATATGTTTTATTAACTTCATAAAATGTCAATTGAAAAAATAAATCTCTAGTAGATTTTATTTGAATCGCTAGAGTAGCTAAGTTGGTCGATATGTAACCATAAAGTACTGTATGCAAACGTTAGTATTACAAGTCATGAAATGACTGTAGACAAGTCAATAATGACTATTTATCTCAGATCATTTGTCTAGTAGCATACATCTGCTCTTGTAGTTAGTTAGTGTCTGGAAATTTCAACGAGTTTAGCGCAACAAACTTAAATCTTTGAAGTTTGGTATTATTTGATTTAGATTTGAGATTAAATTTGAGTTCGGCATTTAATTTAGTCTTTGGTAAGATAAGATGATCTCAATCATGATCTACTTTGCTTTCGGGTGCAGCACAACTAGGTAAACATTTTGAAATTTCGAATCAAATCTTTAATATTTGAATTTGTTCTTCGACAAAAATACTATAAATAGTTTGTGTTTCATTAACAGTCATCAAATTGCAAACTATTTATGTGTATTTAGTCGAAAAGCAAATCAAATTCCAAGTCTATCCTAGATTTGTTGTACTCCCTACGAAAAACTCTATACTAGATCGGATTATTCAATCTACTATTAAGCAGTATCCTATATCACAAGATAGCCGAAAAGCAACGATCTTCTTCTTCTTTCTTTCAATGAACTCAGAAGCATACATATTTATTCTTTCTGAGATACTGTTACGTACTCATTGGTTAAATTTGTAAATTATAAACATAATCAATGGTGTTATTTCGTGATCGTCTCTCATTTAGAAAGAAAAGCAGTTGTAAAATCTCGACTTAAAATTTACACTCACTATCGTTAAAAAACAAAATGAGAGTTTCACATTAAAAAGAAAAATTCTATTCTAGTTTTATTATTTTTGTATCTATAGGAATGGGGTGATCGATCTCAAATAACAACAATTGTATTAGCAGCTACAGAAAATCTCTTAGGTGTTATTATTGGTGGTACAATTGGTCATGGTTTTTGTACTGGATTAGCAGTTATTGGTGGTCGTTATGTAGCTCAACATATATCACCAAAAACAGTGACACTTGTTGGTGGCATTGTCTTCTTATGTTTTGCTTTGTCAGCATTTTTTATCCGTCCGAATAACTAAATTTATTTAAGTTTTATTTTTTGCCTTTTTCTTTTTTCTTCATGCCATGGAATTCTATATACATCAAATGACTGATCAATCAATATAAGCAATTGATCGATTCATTCTTCTTCTTTTTTTTGGTATTGTCTTTGTTGTTGTTATTATTTTATTTACTTAATGAAAAGATGGAAGAAACAAAAAAAAAGAAAATAAATAATCTTAACTTTGTATTTTATCAAATTAATATTCTTACATCTGCTTGATATTTCTTCAAGATAAATAAATATGAAAGTTTATGTTGCTGCACCTGGTCAACATAATTGGCCTGTTATATCAGATGATATACAAGATCGTCTTTTAGCAATTCTTAATGAATATTTAAATGAAGAAAAACTTGAAATATCATTAAAACGTTCAAGAAAAAAATCAAAAAATCTTACTAAACATCCAATTAAACAACATTTAGCTATTGGTTTACATTGTGTTATGAGATGTTTAAAACAAAATCAATGTTCATTAGTTTTAGTTTGTACTTCATTAGTACCGATTATATTAACTAAACCAATTTTACTTCTTTCACAAATACATTCAATACCATCGATTCGTATAAAAAATTTATCTAATATATTAACAAAAATATTTTCTATACCACATTGTTCAACAATTGGTTTTAAATTATCATGTCAAGAACATGAACAACTTAAAAATCTTGTTGATAATCTTCTTCAAATAATAAATGGTTGTGAACAACAACCATCAGCTTCTTCTTCTTCTTCTTCTTCAGTAACATTTATTCCAGGAAAAATTATTCCACCATATCAAAATCCAAAACGTATTTCAACGGGAATACAAAAAAAGAAAAAGAAATTAAAAAAGAAATAATTAATTTTTGTTTTTTTTCTTTTTTTGTAGATTAATTAAATTTTAATTTCATTTAATTATGGAAGATTCACAACGTAAATTAAATGATGCTATTTCAACAATGGCTGGAACATTACATCGAAATTATTTACGACGCATTTATGTATGTTTTTAATTTATTCTCTTTGAGTTATGATCAGAGACGTATCGAATCAAGATTTATTTTTTTTTCTAGTTCGAGTCATAATCTTGATCTCTCATATTTTGATATTATCCATTTTGTCTAATGTTAGAATTAGTATGATGATTTTCCTTCACTTTATCTTGCTTTCTTCTGTTTTCTCTTATTCGTAACATCAATTTTCGTTTGGAGCAAAAAAAAAAATAGGAAAAAAAGTTATCTACAATTACAGTAAATCAAATCTTGCTGTTTCGTACATTTTGTTTTTTAGTTATTTGAAATATTTAATTCTTGATTATATTTTATTTTTTAGGGTGATGCATTTAATTGTTCCTATCGTTGTACAGAAGATCCATCACTTGATCCTGTAAAATTTAATCAATGTGTTGAAAAATGTTCATCAAAAATTACTCAAGCTGAACAAGCAATGAGTCAAGAAATGCAACATGTACAAGAACGTTTAATGCGATGTATACAAAGTTGTGAAGATAAAGCAAAAGATAGTGGTGATAAAGATGAAGGTCGTCTTCGATCTATTTTTGAACCATGTGTTGTTAATTGTGCTAATGAAATTCATCAATTATTACCTAAAATTGAAAGTCGTATTAGTGATCAATTAAAAAGATTTTGAACTAAAAACTAATATAGAATATTATTCTCACAATTAAAAAAAAAATCAACAATAGATATGTGTGTTTGTTTAGGTTGATTTTTTTCTTTTGATTTTGTTTGTTTTTCTACCGTTTTTTGTACGAAAACAAAATTATAGGAGAATAAAAAAAAAAGAAGAATATGATTTGACATTATGAAAATTTTAATTGCATTATTGAATCAAGAATATTTAGTGTAATCGATATATAAGATGCATATGCATTGATATTAAATACTTACTTTTTTTTTTGCTAATGAATCAGTCATAAATTTGTTATTGAATGTAACAATATTGCCTATTGAACGTCTGAGTTGTGACAATATGATATTTAACTGAAGGTTTGCACTTCTATGAAAGATATCACTCCTAATTAATCAATTGTGCTGGAGATCAGTACCATATTCAGAATTTTCAAGTATGGTAAAGTATCTTCAAGTACCGTGATGTGTCCTAGCGTCCATGTCATTCATACAAATCGAACTGCTTAATATGATCTACAGTGTGTTCGATGGAGTCTCAATGTCTTCATACTCTTATAATACAGAATTATTGACACATTCATCCGGTTTAAATATTCAGTAATTTTTATGAACTATTACTTTTGATTCAGACGAGGAAAGTTACCGTTGCGTGGAGACTGTTACAGGAATATAATAATTGTTTAATAAACTTTGACCATAAGTTTCCGGACTCGACGAATCTGAATCTGTAGATCAAGATGGCTTTAAAGTAAACGTAAACTGCTTAGTGGATGATACAAAACCACGTAAATTTTTGTTACATATGGCTGCTCGATATATCAAACTTTTACCATCGTCTTCAGTCAAAACAACAATCAATGGCAGTCATGAACCGTTACTAACGAGCAAATTTTTTAGTAATCATCGAGATAAGTAGTTCTAAAGATAAACTTCTGGCTTTATGATTGTCGATCGATTAGTTTTCTGGTATAGGTATGCATGTAGCAGTTTGCTTTTCAATATTTCCGAAGTATCAACTATATTATATGGAATGATCGTATAGACTCAATAAAAATGCATGCTTTTATATTGTTGTTATGAAGTCTTTCATATTTATTCTTTTGTCACATGTTGTCAGATAAGATAGAAACAAACTATTTTCGCTGTATCTTCGTGACACACAGTCGAATTCGTTGTATAAGTATGGTGTGAGTTAGACGAAGAATAACATAAACATATTCTTTTTTCGTTTTTTTCTCTGATTATAACTTATTTGCTTGGTTCTACACAATTTTTCTTTCGAAAAACGCATGTCATTCGATTGATTGCATGAAAACGACCATTATCTTTTTGATTGATGTCATAGATGTTGCGCAACATAAAATCATTATATAATTGAACACGATAGGTTCGCAAATGTACTTTTTCTGCTACATATATCTTCTCTTGTTTCTTTTCCATAGAAAAGACTATAAGTAAGTACAATGAATACTTCAGTGAAAGCGTATATTCGTTCAGAAAAACATGAAAAAGCAGTCAACGGCCGATCTTTTTTGTTTATTATTTATATTTAGCATTATTCCAACTATCTTGAATCATAAAACAGTTAATACTCAAATGAAATGATTCGAATGCTTTTCGAATTAACAGTGATATTCTGGTGTTATCGATGTACTTCAATATGGAAGTATGGACAACGATATTAATGAAAATTCTCAACGCCCGATTAGTACATTCTAATAAAATTTCTGCAGGAAACAATTCTTTGTTCGCTCCATCATCAACAGTTAAGCCTGTTTGTCTTTTTCCTACATACCACCGTGCTAATCAATCTTCGCATGTTATCTGACAAATGACTATAATGTATCATTATCGTTCGCTTGTTTTCATCTTGCCAAATACGAACACATAAAACGAACATCAAGTAAGTCTACGAATTTGATCAAACTACAAGAAAATTCAGCGCCTATCTAGCTCACTTGTCAAACACATCTTCGTTCTTTTTTTCTCCAACAAAATACATATGTCTATTCTCAGACAAAATAAATAAAACTTTGTTAAAATTATCTTCAGATCAATTTGTTTTCTTAACATCTTCCACAAGATGGATCGACGTATTCTATGTGATTGTCTGATCCAATGGGTATGTGGGTTCATACTAGTTTATTGAATGAAATCAATATCATTTCATCGAAATTTTCTTCACTCTTCATTGCAGATGAAAAAATTCAATTTGAATCGACCGATTAGCAGAGCTAATGATCTATCTGATGGTGTTATCATTGCCATGGCACTGAGAAATATGTCAGTAATTGATTTATCCAATTCATTTTTGTTTTTGTTAGTTATTGATTTGTTAGAGATGAGAACTATTTCAATGATACATGGCTACAAAAGATCACTACTGATGGTAAAGATAATTATCGAATTAAGGTAGCTTCTAGTCTTATGAAATAATCAAGATCTATAGACAAATCAATTTAGGCAAACAATTTGAAAGAAATTTGGAAAAATATCATCGTCTACTATTTCAAGGTGAATTTCGAAGTATTCTTGCGAATCTGTGCAGAATATTATTTGTTATTTTAGGTACTCAGGCAGCCAATAGTAAACTTTCAAATGCCCGATGTGTATATGATCGGTAATTTCTTTAGAGAAATCCAAATGAATTCGAAAATCCTTGGCTTCTTTTCCTATAGCTGATAGTGCAGATGAAGTAGAACTCAGCCGATTGTTACAACTTGTCCTAGGTTGTGCTGTCAATTGTGAGCGAAAACGATATTATATAGAATATATAAGATCCTTGAAAGAATCTGTTCAACATGTACTCATGAATGCTATCCAAGAGGTTCGAATGTGCTATTCTTGATCTTGAACATATGTTCGAATATTCTTTCTATGAAATAGCTAATGAATAAAGAAGATCAGTCGATCAAGGGACAACGTTCAGAACTTGAAGATCAAGTAGATAATTGAACATAACGAACTCAATCACTATTTTCCTATGATTTTTTTAGTTGAGACACGTTTTGGAAGAACTCAATCATGTCATCGAAATCAAAGACGAAATCGAAAATCATTGTCATGAATTAGATCAACAGGTTTGATATTTGATCGTACCTCGATTATTACTATCTTATCTTCAGATTCGTGTGCTTCAAAATGATAAATTGGATTTAATGCATCAAATAGCATGTTTAAATGACCGTATTCAACAATACGAAAGTATCATAAATGCTGAGTACGATGATGCTAGAAAAACGATCAGATATCGATGTCAGTAGTTTTATTTTATTGCTGATTGCATTTTAGATCGGCAGCATATATTTCTTACAGTAATTCGCAACAACAACGTATTCAATCACAACAAGAAGAAATATCTGAACTTGAAATAAGTACATTCAATCATTTTTGAGTTAGTATTTCTTATTGTTTCTTTATTTCATAGCTCTCCACGATTATCGAGCAAAATTGAATATCTTACTTGATGAAAACAAAGAACTTCTTAAAAAAGTAGATCCAAAACGACTAAATTGATTCGAAACTATTTATATGATGAAACTTTTCTTCTAGAATGATGATCTTGCGGGTCTTGTAGCCGATGCACGAAATGTTAAAGATGAAAATGATGTTCTAAGGAACAAATGCGAAAAAATCGTATGTAATTCTAACACTAGAATGATACATTAGTTAGTGCATTGGTCATTATAGACCAAACTAGAATCGACTATTGATTCCTACAAGATCAGATTAGCAGAGATGCCGGATTTACAACAACAAGTGAGATATCTCAAAGAAAATAATTTACGTCTAATTAACGAAAAATCAAATCTTGAGAACGAATATAAACAAGCAAAATTAATGCAAACTCAAGCCGAATTTCATAAAAAAACCAATCAAACATTGCATCAGAAAATTAGTGAACTACAAGCTATGATTGGTAAAACTGATCTTGAACGGCAACGTGCAGAAGAACTTCTCAATGTAGTTATTAGAGAAAAAGAGGTTTTCATTAGTTGAAAGAAGAAAAAAAATATATAAGAAAGAATTACTGAAATAATTTTATATAGAGTCTAATGAATGAAATCCAATCATTGCGAAAGACAAAGAAAAACTTTCGTGTTATTAGTTTTGATGACGGTAATATTGAATGTAATACTTATATGAAAAACTGATTGGTTCATTTAGATATTGTTCAAACAAACTCACAAGATCGACTTCCTGTATTATTTGAAGATCACACTATTTTGAATTCACCTGCTGATGACAGGTTAATTCTAACAAAATCGTAGGAATTTGTTACACTTAAACGAACAAGAAAAAATTCACATGTTTTAGAGAACATTCTTTTCCACTACGACACGAAGAAAATCCTCGCAAACAATTCAAACTTCAAAATAATAAATTAACCAATAGTTTACGGTAAATAAATGATTGGAGTTGCTTTTCTTTATGTTCACCTTCAGGATATCCAATCAAAAGAATCTCGAATTGGATATGACTCCTCAAGATATAATGACAATTGCAAAAAACAGTACTAAATTGACTGATTTGAAGGAATCACTCAATTGTGCCATGTCTCAGTATGAACAAGAATCTACTCAAATACAAAGCCAAATGAATGAATTAAAACAAAAATTGGAAATGGCTGGTTCGTTGTTGAGGAGAATGTCGATTTATGCTATCAATTTATTTCCTTGGTTTTTACAGAACAACAATTGACAGAAAAGGATATCTTGCTAATGAAGAAAGCTGAGGAAACAAACGCTTTGGAAAAATATTATCTTCAATATTTGGAAAAGGCTAAGATGATCATACGTCAAATGGATCCACATAATAATCAGTCTTTTATCAATTACAAGATACAATCGTTACAAAAACAACTTGATGAAAAAAATCGACGTTTGCGCGAACTTGAAGTGAGCTTATGCTTCGTATTTTCTTTCAGGCTATTATTGTTTGAATGTTGACTTCCTCTTTAGAAAAAATATGGAAAAATGCAAATCATCTATGATGATCAAGAGTAATGACTAATTCATATGTTCTAGTTGTTGGATTGGTCGATCTACTTTTGAATGAAGGAAACATGAGACAAAAGACTTTCCTTCTTGTAAAATAGCACATTTCAATGTCACGGTTTTGATGAACTTTTGATATCGCACAATAAAGAATAATTTCTAGTAAAACAACGTAGAATTGCGTCAGCACACGATTAAATCCCTTCCAGAATGTGGGTGAGTCTAGGCCTAGGTGCCATCGAAGAGAAGACTAACCTACTCACACCTTTCGTCTGGGCACTGATGATTGGCTCAGCATGTACGTATCAATCTAATGGACTTTTGCGACATTGAAAAGAGTCAAGCTTGATCCATAGTCAAATGTATAATTTTGATAAGCAATTACATCTTGGTTGTAAGTACCCATCTACATAATGCTTTTCATCGATAATTGCTAGATAGAGTGGAAGAACATTCACCATAGTGTGTTGTAATCAATGACATATTCTATCGCATGTTCAATTTGATCACGCTCATTAATTTTCGGATGCAGATGTCAGTCATATCTTCATTCATATCCATCAGGAAAACTTTTACAAAGATAGGTCACTCGCTTGACTTTAACAATACAGTGGCCAAAACAACAAACAATTGAATGGAATGACAAGCAAAGTAAACTTACAGAAACTATCGCTTCAGAAACAAGTAAAAGTTCATGGCTGAATGAATCGAACATTTTTATTTTTATCATAACGTGTAACATAGCTTGAAGATGCTCTCGATATCTTGTGCATCAACATGTCCCAATCAACTCGACGCATATCCATTTTAAATATTACTTATTTAATTGAGTGCATCTCTTTGCTCAGATGAGAATGTGAATGTGACGTCAAAGTCATAGTCACCTATACACGATTCAGAACTATGGTCTATTGTACCATACGAATCAATATGGGAATAGCTCTACTATTTAATCGCTGTGCAATCTTTCATATTTTGTGTAGTACTTGAGAACAAATACTAAAAGAAGAAAAAAGCTTGTTTGCACAGAGTCTTTGAGTCTGAACAGTGGCACTCACCTATCTTCTTTAGTTTCATTATATTTATACAAAATATAGAAAGCTAAACATATCTAAAAGATAATAGGTTCTTCCCAACGATAATCGATTGGCAGAAAAAGGTCTATCATTTTTATTTCTATATTTAGTATTGTAATCTTGTTGCCAATTTTTTTTGCATTGGTGCTCTTTTTTTTCATTTGTCTTATTGCTATTTGCTCGACGTTTATTTTCTTTGTCTGTTTCATCTTAATAATTTAATGAAGGATATATTATCTATTTCGATGAATTCAGAAAGACTGATATTGATTATCACCAAAAGTTAGAAATGAATCAATTTATGATTTCGTGTTGATCATATGACAATTGTGGGCAATCAAAATATTATTCTTGATATATATCATATAATCGTTTATCAGCACAACAATCAGAAAGTGTGTTTTTAGTGCATCGAAAATCATATTCTAGTCATTTAAATTTCAAGGACAGCTCTAGAATGTTCTCGAACATGCTCAGTCTTGATATTAATTTCATTCAGCACTTTTATTCCGTTGCTAAGCAATTATGATTAATCATTCTGGAGTCCATCGTCTGCGTTTATTATGGAAGTTTATTCAATGGCGTATAATTCCGGTTGTTAAGATCTATAATATGGAGGAGAGATGGACAATCGCAAAACTTCAACTTAAAACTTACAATTACTATTTTATTCGAAAATATATATGAGTTTCATAAAACAAAAGAACATTGTTTTCAGGTCTAATTCGATATAAGCAACTAAAAGAAATGAATGACAAGTAGCGACACATGTAAATTTACAAAAAACACTTAATTTTTTCGCTTTAGCGCTTTTCTTTTTTTTTTGCTGTCGTCCTGTGCCATCGAGATCTGTGTTATCGTGGGCAATCGACTGCTGACTTGTTCTTCGTTGTCTTCTGGGTCCACCGAACCAACGAGCAAACCAATCAGCAATATCAGGCATATTCAAGTTTGGTTGGAACTTGTTGTTCGCTTGTTGAAATATTTGCTGTACCTCTTGTTCTGGTGGAACTAATTTAGGTAGAAAATAAAATAAAATACCTCCTACAACTATTTGAACCAGCATTGGATTGAAAATAATATTAGTCCAATGATAGACTTCGCGGTTTTTAAAATAGTTCGGCTTGATATATGTATCAAAACGGAGCGGATATTTTACTAAAACAACTTTCTGTGGTTCAACCAGGTTAACTTTACGTGCACGAATTTTTCCAGTAGAACTTATATCAACTCGTGCTGGCTCAAAAATGTGTCGTGGTGAACTAATCGAAACAACATACGAACCACTTGGTATACCTGAAAAACAAGAAGTGAAAATCTAAGAAGTTATTTTTCCTTCTATAAGACAATCTACCTGATATGACAAAAGTGCCATCGACTCGAGGAATACCGATATATTCACCTTCGTTAACTAGTACACGACTATCACCAAGAGCTTCATCACTTGTCCTTCAATTTTATATGAACCAACGTTTTCACTGGAATTCGTTGATGACGCAATCATCCTTTCATGGCATGTAATAAACATGATTAATACCGAACAAAATCGATACCAAATGACTGTATTTGGCATTTTTAAAATACAAATCGAAAAAACAACAAAAGATGAAAACTGATTATCTAAAAAGGTATTTTCTATATGAGACGTATTTTTTAGCAGACAATATTTTAATCAAAATAGTTTTGTAAATAAGATTCTTTTTTTATTCATTATACATGTGTATCTTACTTGTGCTGAACACACGCATTCACGTATTGTTTTTGCTAAGTCAGTGAAACGATTACAGTTTTTCTGAAATTGACATGATATCTTCTCTCTTTTCGATACGTTAATCATTCTTCTATGGAATCGTGCATAATTCACACAAATATATATGCATGTTTTCTTGTCGTTCTTGTTATTGTAGGCATGTGCGTGTTAGTGTTTGACTTTATATGTATGTCTGCTTTTTTTTCATAAAATATTGAAGAATTATTCACCTTTAATAAGTATAATGATTCCTCATTTTCTTGCTTACCTAAATCTGATACTCATATGGATTACCGTTAGTCTCTACAGTAACGTCATGAAAACATGCATTCACAGTACTGTTTTAAACATACATCAATTCTTTTTTGCTTCATTGAAACATTTATTTCGTTCTATTTCTGTGAAAGTTGGTAAAAACCAATAACATTTGATAAACAAAATTCTTCTGTTCTTTAATTGCATGTGAGAGTTTTTTTTGTGCAAACTTAAGTAACCACTTATGTGTCATATAAATAAAGTTAGCATCAGGCTTAGGAGCGGCACTTTAACTTTATTTTACTTTAATAAAGTAAAGTGAAGTATCTCTTACTTTACCGAACAAGTAAAATATAATAAAATAAGATAAAGTACAGTAGGTAGTTGATGGTTATTGATTTATTAGTTTATTATTAGACATTAATTACATTTTAATGCATCAAAAATTGTGTTGAATTATGGATCGAAGGCTCCGAAAAATTTGAACATAATTTTATTCCATTGAGAGTCAGCATTGAACCCTGAATGTTTTTCACACATGGAGTCGCCATGAGGAATCGAAAATAATTTTTTTTTCGCTGCTCTATGACAGGTCTTCAAATTCAATAGCACTAAGTGTACTGATTACAAATATCTCATTTGTTTTCAAATGTACTCAGATAACAAGAAAGATTGAAAGCACTCCCTAGCACCATTAAAAACTAGCTTTTGTCCAGAAATTTCACTGAAATACGACCAGATTTGTTTTATTGAGATCGAAATGGAGTTGACTTGATCAAAAATTCGTTTTCTAATGACACATACGTTGGACAAACCTTTTCGTAACTAATTTTGATGAAATATGCGTTATTTAATGAGTTAGCTCAAGACTGACTCTTGGGTTAACCCACAAAACCTACCTGAAACTTTTTATAGGTAGGTTGGATGTGGAATTACATACGGTTGTAGACAAAAGTAGGTACATCCACCCCAAAGTGGTATTATATTCCATCATTTCGAAATGATCTTTTGGGGGAATGTCAGTCTCATTGAATCCTGATCGCAAACACCACCACACCCTCAATTGGTTGACATTTGCTGAAGATATCACTTGTACGTCGTCATCACCTTATCAAAGTCACATCTTGATCATTTTTCGACGTTCACTTTCGCTCAGCGCGTCATTCAAAAGTTCAGGGATGCAGACATCATTAGTAAAATTTTGGTGGGAAAATAGTGGAGATTCGAAGTTCGCACTAAAACTTCTACCAAGTAGAAAATCCTTGTTTTCAATTTGAAATCGATATTCAGAGCCGTAGATATATGTAGAGCTGAGATATAGTCATTGGAAGAATTCACCACACCACACTTTGCCTATAAATGGAACTACGGTATTGTGTGCTGACATTTAGACCCAAGCAACTAGATAAGCAAGGCGATAACTAGCACCAATAACAGCAAGAATTCATTTTAGGATGACGAAATACTGCGAACTAAAAGCTTCTGAGATGGTATTTTCCCTCCATGTCTTCAATAAACCGTTGGCACTGCCTATAAGCGAGTAGAACTGTCAAGTGCTAGTGAATTTACGCTCATCTTTCTGGAAATACTCTTTTTTGGTCAGAATAATTCAGAGGGTATGTACAAATGGCTGAGTCCATGAAGCAGAAACTCTGTGAAGTCAGAAAAATGGTTTTGAGGTGAAATGCTTCGTAACAGAGAAGGTGCTAGCTCAATGATAAGACAAGAGGGGGGGGGGGGGGTTGAAGAAATTGAAGAGAAATACCTTCTTAAAACCTTTTAGTTCACACTTTCGACCTCTTAAAATGAATTTTTGATTTTTTTTGGTGCTAGTTGTCTCGCTGCATACCTAGTTGCTTGGGTTGAAAACTCACCGTATAATACCGTAGCTCCATTGATAGATAAGCTGTGGCATGGTAAACTCTTTCAATAGCTCTATCTCAGCTCTGAATATTTTATCACAAACTTGTGGGTCAATAATGAGTCATTGCTACAATTTTTCGCTGCATCAATCGATTTTAGCTCAAGTTATCGATTCCAAACTGGAAACAAGGATTTTCTGCTTGGTAGAATTTTTCAGTGCGAACTTCGGTCTCCACTATTTCCCACCAAAATTTTACTAATGATGTCTGCATCCCTGAACTTTTGAATGACGCGCTGAGCGAAAGTGAATGTCGAAAAATGATCGAGATGTGACCTTGATAAGGTGATGACGATGCACAAATGATATCTTCAGCAAACTCAACCAATTGAGGGCGTGGTGGTGTTTGCGATCAGGGTTCAATGAGGCCGACATTCTCCCAAAAGATCATTTCGAAATGATGGAATATAATATCACTTTGAAGGAGCGAGGGAGGGTGGGTAATTACTTTTGTCCGCGAGTGTAAATGGTCTGATCTAGTCACCGGCTTGGGTTAGGACTAACCAGTGGAAGCTCTAATCCAAAATGTACCCATATCAACCCAACTCAATTGGCATCTCTGCCCACATAGGTCGACTCAGTTTTGTGTGTTAAATTCAGCTATGACACTTTTATGAAGTTAAATGGGATATTTCTATTCGAAAACTATAGATATTAGTGAAAAATGGGGCCAACAAGGTCTCAAAGATAAGATTTTGAGCAAAAATGCTTTACTAGATATGAATTTTCACGTCGAAAATATTGTCATTAGAAAGAGAACATTTAGTTGCATACTTGGTAAAGAAATCTGACCACGACACCTCTAGAAACTCTAATTTCGTAAGGCTGACAAAATATTATGAGAGATAATCAGAACCTAATCGGGTGATATTTGTCAATTATCCATAGAATGAATCGAATATTCAACACGTTCTCATAGTTGCTGGTAGAGAAAACAATTCTGTGTCAAATGAATCTGTTGTCGACGAAATAGAATCGTATTTTAATGAAGTTTCTGGTCAAAAGCTAGTTTTTAAGGCTTTCAGAAGATCCTTTCTATCTTTCTGTATACCTAAGCACTTTTGAGAACAAATGAGATATTTGTAATCAGCTCACTTCATACTATTGAATTATAAATTTTTGTAATAGGACAGCGATAAAAATTTTTTTTCGACACGTGAAGGGAATCCTAGGTGTGAAACATTGAGTTATGATAAAGTAAAGAATAAAATTTTGAAAAATAGTGAGGGCTCAATGCTGATCCTCAAGATATTAAAAATAGGTTCAGACTATTCGGGACTCTCAGTCCTTATTGCGATGCAACTTTTGACGTATTAGAACGTACTTAATGTGTGATAATGAACTAATAAATCAATAATCATCAACTACATGCTTTACTTTATCTTATATTATTTCATCCAACTTTTTCTGTAAAGTAAGAGATACTACACTTTACTTTACTTTACCTTACTTTACTTTTCGGGTAACGTACGGTTACTTTACTTTACTCGTTAAAGTAAAGATAAAGTGCCACCCCTAATCAGGCTGACTACCTTCGGATTGGATTCTCTCAGTGACTAACGATGGGACGTCTCAACTGTCAAACTATTTTTCACTTGAAACTATTGTCATTTGATGGACCTTGTTGAATGGTGGAAAAGACTCTTTTGGTTCGGTTATTGAATCTTCTCTAGATGAGAGTTATAAGTGTTTTACTCAATTTTTAGACCATGAACACACGATCTCTGACAATCTGAATGATCGAGTTTCGAGCTGAAATTTTGTCAATAGACAGGTTTTATAGTCACTACAAAGTCTCCTAGAAGTTTGAGTTATAACGAATGTATTCTTACCAAGATATCAGCTTGAGGGCTGTAGGTATGAATGCGGGTTGAGGTGCAGTTAAAAACCAGGTACTAACGTATACTCATATCCCAATCTTTTTTTTTTGAGATTGTAATGAACCTCTGAAAAGAATTTTGCAAACATGATTTGACATTTTATCAGTCAGCACAGTTGTAGGAAAAGTTTCAGAAATAAATCGCTGAATCAATTGACGATTACAGGAGGTGTATTTTCTCTTTCTCATACCTAACGTTACTGGACGAAAACTACCCTATTATATGGAACTTTAGATGTTTTCGTTTGATCGAGAGTGATAATGACTCTCTCTATATATATGTATTTATAGCAAATTTCATGAAAAGACAAGTGAATCAAGTAAAAGCTGAAATGAAACGTAGTATTGTTGCTAAATGTTATAATTATGAAAACATATATGATTGCTTTTTTTGATCACGATAATATATGTTCACCTTTTTGCTAGTTCATTTTCCTCTCCATGTATTCAAACACTTCGTCAAATGATTTCTCATTATCTATAGATAAATTTTCATTAAAAACAAATTCTTTTAGTAAAACGATATCGTTTTCCACTTCTGTGATTTCTTCTCAAATACAAGAAGTTTCTCGATCATGATTCAACCGTTTTTTTCATTCCTATGCTTTTATACTTATAGTCACTTGAAAAAGTAAAAATATTTTGACATGTCGAGATCTCATATGCTGCCAAACCGAATGCCGAGTATTTCATCCAGTTACAAAATGCTATATCAAATTAATCGTGAGAGTAATTTAAGTCCAAAAATAAACATTATACTGACTTTGTTCAAGCTTTATTTATCCACTGAAAAATAACCAGTTCCATCACAAAAGATTCTAATCTTTCATGTAAGATAGATACTAAGGCCTCTAGTGGAAAAAATCCTATAGACCGATTTACCATCTAATAACTTCCTCTCCTTTACGAGATTCGTAGTCTACACACCTAATAAATTACAAGTATAAGCGATGACGAAGTAAACTTTTACTCTAACAAACCATCTGTTGTTTTCCAGAACAATTACATATATCATCCAACATCGACATTATGTATTACATTATCTGATGATAATGAACGCACTTCAAATTCAAGTATGCAATCTCAACAATGCAGCTCATACATGATCATAGAATCAACGGCCATATAATAAAACGAACAATACTCAAGGTAAAAATGATCATTTGATATTTGCTAACACATCTTGTGATTTATTCTTAGGTATGACCGTGTAATAATTGATATAACAAGTTTTCAATTTTGTGTAATAGATTGTTTTGCTTTGTTTTTTTGTTTTACTTGTTTTCAACAGTTGATATTAAAAGAAGTTAAATGAAAAGATAAATTGAATGAATCATTCTTTTAGACAGTTTATTTACATGCAAATCTTTTTCCATTTACAATATTCAATAATAATAAATTGAAGTTTTTTGACGTTAGTTTTAATTATCTTTTATTTATATTTTCTCTTTAAATATTTGTTCTTAACATTTTGATTTATTTCAAAGCAAAACTATGTCGTAGAAATGGTAAACAACCTTATGACATGGAGAAATTGTTATCTACATATTGATAAGGTTCAAAAATAAAGCGATTCTTTGGTTCTATCTCATTAGTATATATATATATTATATCGAAATTACGCGGATCGATGAAGTTGCTGCCTCATCAGCCAGTCTCCCTCGAATTAAAAATTCCATTTTTCCAATTCAATTTGTTTATCATCTAATACGATGTGTTAAAAAACGAAATATACTCAAAAATGCAGCGTGAAAAGTTGTACAACTTACAAAGAGCATTTCATTTTATAGTTACACTTTTTGTTCTCAAAATAGACAAAACTCAGAGTCACTAACTTTCGACACTAAGGAAAAGATCATTTTTTGATACACGATGAATTCTTTTTCTTATTTTATCAATTAATGAATCATTATTTTTAACTTTATCCCATTGCATATTGTTGTGATTAAAACATATGTTGATTGATCTAATAGTGACCATTGATGACGGTCTTCGATACTACTCATTAACTGAAACACTAAGTAATTCATTGTACAGAAACATATGATTGTATTCCCAGTGGCACAGAATTTTGCTCATATTTTATGGTTTTGACGCAGCATACTAGCTGATGAAAAAGTAAATTGAAAAAAAGTACTTTTCTTTGTCCGTGGGAAAGTGTGTCTTCGATACAACATTCACAAGTAAAGACTCATGATTTATCTAAAGATCATTGTTCGATTGATAAGCGAAAAATAAGTAACAAGCGAAAGCACACATGTGGAGAAAAATTATTTTTGTCTCCTCAAAATATCGAACGAAAAAAAACAGATTAGCATAGTGAGATTCATCATTGACTCACGATAGATAATAAAATCTTATAAATAAAACTGTCACTTTATACATTGCTATTTTTAGTGAACACATCAAATCAGTCGCAAAAAAGCCTGCATAATCATTAAGTGACGATTGTATAGTGATTCTTATTTATGGTAACTATAAGACTCTATCACATGGATGCACATTTTGCAATGTTCTGGATGAATGCTTCCACTATACATAAGCATAGATATTTTTGAATATTACAATAGTGACACGTAAGGTATATTCGTGAGTGAGAAGCTTTTATTGTATATAGATTCGAAAGTCGTCGATTTGTTTTTTTTCTTATCTTGTTGTTTTAGATCGCTAAAATCAATTTAAGAAGTGTTTAGCAATTTTGAATATTTGATGAAATGGCAACTCAATCAGTCAAGCCAACAGGCAAAGTCGAATTAAGCGAAAAACAGATCGATGCTCTTAAAAAAAGATCACGTCTCAGCGAAGCAGAAATTCGAGAAACGTTCGGTTCGTATCTTGTAACATAGTTAATATCAGACTTATGAATTTCTCTGAAGTAACATTCATTATCAAAATAAAAGTTGTGAGAAATTTCTGTATTAAACTAGACAAAAATATGAAATTTAATCTCGGAGAATTTTCAATGACTTTTCTTTTTCAAAGCTTTGATTCGAATTTTAACTTGTTAAATTGTTTATTTGTAGAAGAGTTTCGTGCAAATGCACCTAGAGGTCAACTTACGAAGGAAGAATTCATCAAACTATGGAACGAAACATCACCTAAAATTGATCATTCTGAAAGTGTTCATATGGCCGAACGAGTCTTCGAACTTTGCGATCGAGACCATTCAGGTAAATATTTTGTATGTATTTTTTTCTTTGAATATTCATATTGTTGTTGTTGTTGTTGTTTAGGAAAAGTTGATTTTAATGAATTTCTGATGACTGCTTGTTTGACGACACCTGGTACACCGACGCAAAAAATTGCACCGTTGTTTATTCTATGTGATTTCAATCGCGATGGTTTTCTTCAACGAGCTGAGATTGAAAAAATTTATCTTCTAGCTAAATCAACTCGTACATCAGTCGATCAGAAGGAATTTGAAGCATTCAAGACTCACTTAGATTCAGTCTTTGCAAAATTTGATACGAACAAAGACGGAAAAATTTCTCACAAGGAATTTCGTGATCTTTGTACCCATGACGAAGTTTTCCAAAAGATGTTAGGTTAATTCATTTCAAAATTGATATTTAAATCGAAATTTATTACTCACAACACAATTTAAATCCGCAATAGAACTATCATGGAACTTCAACAATATTCTCATTATTGTGCATTTTCTTTGAAAAAATTAGATGATATAGTTGATAGAAATAAATAAAGCATGCTTCATATGTCTCATTTTCTCTTCTTTCTCCAATATCAATCAATTTGATTTTATATTACTTCCACCAAAATGTTCGCTTTTCTGATAACTTTAGACAGAAAACGAATTTCGAAACATCGTTTGCTTTATTTTAGTACAAAATAAAATAAAAATAAGTAGACAATATTGTGAGATAAATAGAAGTGGGAATGAACAAGATTACAAAGAGTAGACACAAGAACGTTGTATCAAAATTTGAATATTGAATGTGGATAGATTACTAGTTTTATGGAAGTAGCTGAACGAAAAAAATTACAAAAAAATATATAATTCTTTTCTCTCAGAAGTGAAACATGCAAATTACAAAATATTTTATACCATTGTAGAGAGTTTCACTTGAAAATTCCGAAAATGTGTTTGATTGGTCTGTTGAACAGTTTAATTTTGTTTGGTATGAATTTTCTCGGTGACATCATGATTTTCTGGTGAATTTTTGAGCAACTAATTTTTCAATTTCTTTCAGAATTGTAATAAAGGTCTTTATATCATTCGATAGACAAAATATTAAAGTATATTTCGGTAAATTTAAACTTTGAAAAAAATGCGATTTTCATTTTTACCTAAATGACCGTTTTGATGCATATAAAACACGCTTCTCTTCCCGCTGGCCGATTCATAGGAAATTTTTATCGGTATAAAGCTAACAGACAGCCGTTTATCCCGTGAGGCACAGTTGAAGTCTTAGATCCGATCACCGTAAATGTCGCATAGAAAAATTATAGTTTTCTAAGAACATCACAAAATTACTTTCTTGAGTAATTTAATCGCGATAAAAATTGCTGATTTTTGTACAATTTTGGTCACATGGAGAGCTACGATAGAATTTGTAAGGAAATAATCTTTGTTTTTTTTTCTGTAAGATAGCAATTGTTTAAATGTATTCTCTATTGTCGCTATACGATACCATTTACAGTTTTCGATTCAGTGTATATTCATGATAATACTAGTTGAGAAGGTTTTGAATGACCTTTTTATATTATTCCGTATTCTATCTTGAAGAATGAAGTAAAATAAGGAGGATATCAATTTATTTTTAGTGTTTTTAGACATTTGATCAACAATAAAGAATAGTTTACTATTCATATAAACTCTGCGTATTATTGATACAATTCTTTGACAAATATTTTTATCCGATCCTTGATACGGAGACATTGTTTTCTCATCAAGAATGTCTATCGAATAGAAAATGCTGATTTTCAATAAGATGAATCGTTTTCATGAGATGAAAAATCGATTCTGAAATTTTTATGTTCGCATAAGTGCATGAAATCGAGTTTATAACTTTACAGCATGGATTTAAATATCTCAGAGCATACTAATTACTATTATCTTGACTATGTGCTATAGGCTTTTTTGATAATCAAGTAGATGTATGATACCATGTTTAGAGCCGGAAAGAAGCAATAGAAACTTGTAGGATAGATGATGTTTCAATCATAATTTCAGTACATATAAACCGACGAAGGCTGGGTTAGTGCTTGCGATCAAAGTTTATTGTCACATGGATGTACCTTAAATATCAGTTGAATATCTTAAGGAATAAGAGTAATTTATGAGACTACTATGGTTTAGTGTAATTGATTGCAGCAACAAAAACCACTTGCCTTTTTTTCCTTCATCTCACTATTTTCTTAGTAAAGCCATCGACACATTAGACACAATAGTGTTTCAAAATATCTATATACATGTATCATTAACAGATCATTAGCCATTCGTAATGGAGATAGAACAAAAGTTTTTGACAATTTATTTAAGGAGTACATCTATAATTTTGTATTAGACTGTAGTCACTTGTGATGGCAAAAATATCTCGATTGTCCATATCATCATTCTTAGCATGTTCGATAAATAATGTTTTCAATCCAGTTTTCATTTTTAAGATAGCAAACTAAAGTTTGTAGACAACGTCTGAAAATACATTTTTATAGTTTAAATATACAGAAATGTATCCATTTTATTTGGCGAAGATATTTGAATCAATACCTTCCTAACTTATTCTCCTCAAAATGCATACTTGATTAATGTTTTTAACATGCAATTTAACTAACTTAATCTTCTATCTTAACGTTTCAAAGTTTGAATTTGATTTCTGCTTGTTTTGCAGAAATATTTAGTTCTTCCCAAAACAGTTCATATCAAATAGTATTGTTCAATAAAAAGATTTATATCACGCACATTTAACAACAGAAACACATGTTTTTTCTTCTGTCCACTTTTGATTTTCTTTTTCTGTCTGTGCACACAGAACAAAACAAACAAACGTCTGGATGTGAATGTGAGGAAAAAAAATACTAATATTCACATCCGACAGAATATTTTATATTTAGTTTCATCGAAAGATATCGACATGGAGTTCGTATTTGAAGAGAGGAAGTCGATCATTAGTATAGACCATTGTTCCTTTATAAGCAATATTTTTTCGGGTTCACATTCATCAGTAGACATGGGTGTGAGTGTGAATTGGAAGTGTGGAGATTCCTGCTATCTATATCAACACTTACACTCCAATATGTGACTTGTCCTGTCAAATTTTTGCTAACATGAGCCGTCATGACTTGTTCTATAGCAATGGATGTGAAATGTGGACTATGAGTCGGAGTTTTCTCTTCTTCCTCACCTACGCCTCTACTCACACTCATATTCACTTCCGGTAGAGTCCTACGTGGTGAAATTTTCCGACTCATACTTGACTCCGACTCGATCGGTATTTTCTGTTGAAGTTCGACTACAACTCGGACAGCCGTGTTCAGACTTCCGAAAAAGAAAATTTCGGAAGTTTCAGAGATTTCAAGCATATGTGTCCTAAATCGTACGTTACTTCCCAAAATGATATAATTTCCGCAATTATGTACTCACAGAAATTTCTGTAATTTTCAATATGTCTAAAAACTTTTGATTTGTACTGCTGTATATTTATCGAGTTGATGGAAATTTCAGAAATTTGGATGATATCCTTTTTTGGAAATCTGAACATACTCGAACTCGTAGAAATCCCCGAAATTTGTTTTTGCACAAGTGCAAACACTTCTTTTCGTGTTATTCACGAATAAAAATGTATTCTTGATTCTTTTCTTGAAATTTAATGATGAATGTATAAGATAGTGCATTTGTGTTCATTACTTAACATATGAAGAATAAAATTGTTATTATGAAAGAACAAAAATATATCACTATTTTACTAATGTGAGTCCAAATCCGATTCTAAAAAAAGTTGTTTTAGTGACTTCGACTACGACTGAGTCAAAGTTTAATTTCGAAGACTCACGCAAGGCTCTACCACATACTGTCCTTCCTTCCCAATCACTCTCTCATCGATACTCCACCTTCAAAAACGTATTTTTCTAATATAGACACTGCTTTTTCTCTCTTCTTCCTTTTGAAATGAAGAAAAATAAATTTGGACATCTCTCATTTATGGATTCAATTAGTCAACCATTAGCATAAGAGAAAAATGATTAAAATCATTGACATGCGCAATAAAGTTAAATTACGATCATAATATATCTTTTAATAGCGCCCGACTCAAGCAAGCAGACAAATTATTTTTTTTGGCTTGTTCAAAAAACGCACAAAAAGTCGTGTTTTAGCGAATTTTTTTTCTGCATTTTTCTGGCCAAGTTCATCAGATTTTTGCAGAAAAGTGGTTAGAAATTTATTTTCATAAAAAAAAAACCAATTTTACGTAAAAAATTAAAATTTTGAACGTTTGTGACCGAAAAGTCGCTATTTATTTTAACAAGAGGCATGAAATCCTTCCTTCTGTTTTTTGTCATTTATTTCGATACAAGAACTCCATTTAAAATATTTTGATGTCAAAACTCTACGGACGGAACAAATTCAATACCAAAATTCTGCACACTTTTTTAAAGACCAAATTAGTATAAAAAAAGTGACATGTTTGTCTGCTTGGGTATATTTCCAATACTTTGAAAGGCGAGTCAACGTGCAAAGTATTACTCACTCGGTCTGATTTTTTCCAAGAGATAATAGACGTAGGAGTTGAAGATATTTTCATCAAAGCAGTTGGAAACTTTGTAAATGCAGACTTCGTATATAAGTCTAAACGGAAGTCATAATTGCTAATTTAAAAAATATCAAAAATCAACATACAGAATACAATGCCTCTTTCAAAATACTTCAGACGTCAAACACAACGCATTACGACCTGGCGTAAACGTGTCATGTCGTTGATAAGAAAACCAAAGATGATTACTCGTTCGAATGGTGATCCAGCAAACACTTCAGAAGATGCAGTTAATGACGAAAGGTACAGTCTGGAGCTTCAGCCTGTTGACCAATTAACACTGGAGGATCTTCGAACGGATCCAACATATGATGATAACTTTTCGACTCAAATGAGACCACGAGAGACACAAAAGAAGAAACAAACAGATCTTAACTCCGTTGAATTAATGACAACACTACATAGACTCACGAATCGGTTGAATCGATATGAACAATACCTGAGAAATACTCCTGTAAACACACCACAATACGAAATACTCCGAACTCATCGAAGATTTTTGAGACAAAAACTTTTGGAGGTTGCACAAAACCTTACGATGCAATAAATCAATTGCAGCTATGAAAATTGAGATTATACCTTTCGATTTTCTTTCTTGTCATTTTGTATGCCAAAAATAAATTAATAGTGTATGCATGAATACATAGGGTACTATAGGTGCTAGTAGATCGAGCATATAAATAGATAGCTCACATTTCTACTTGCGCTAGATTTGGACAGATGTATGTCTCTAATCAAAAAAATATATATTTGCAACTGCAACTATCTATTGTTTTAGCAT